TTCTTGGTGAGAAACTCCTGTGACTTGAAAGTGCCTGAGTACCCTGAACCCCAGTGCCAGCACACCAGAGGGGCGTTCGGTTATTCCCCTGACATGCCACTGTAAGGAAACTTAGGAGTTGTTGTAGGACCAGAAGAGTCTCCCCGGTAAGCAACTGCTCTGGTGCTAGGTGGCCGAGGTGCTCTCCACAGCATCCCCTGCCCTGACCTTGCGTCGTGGTGTCTGAAGCAGCTGCGCTTCTGCCCTGCAGCAAGAGGCAGGTGGCTCCTAGGACTGACACTGATGGCTGCAGCCTACCAGTCCCCTGAGAAGCAGGGCACTAGCCTGACCTGGGGCCAAACTTTGCTCTCAGGGCTCGGGCAGGATGTGCTCGTCAGAGGTGCCTTCCTAACACAGCCCTGTCCACAGCCCACTTCTCCCTTCCTCGCACCTCAGTTTCTTCATCTATAACATGATGAATTTAAACTAATCATTTAAAATGTTTTAGCAGCAGAACTATTTTTTTTAGGTGTCTACACCAAAGTCCAATATAACATAAATTTACAACATAAATTTCTAAATTTTATTATTTCAGATGTATAAGATGTACTTAATAAGATGTATTTATTAAGCAGTGAAATGCTCTGAAACTTTGAATAGGACAGTTGCTTATTTACACCAACCTCTGCTTCCAATTGTTTATCTTAATTTTTTTTTTTTGGTGGGGGGGGGCGTTGTACAATATTAGAAAATCAGGAAAAGCCTGATTACAGAGTTAGTAGCTGGAGTAACTAATAGGATTTTTGGGGGGGGTGTGTGTGTTTAACCTTGCAACCTCAGAATACTGAAAGGAATAGAAGAGTTTGTTTTTGTTGTTTCAGAAATGAATCATTAACAATATAGGGGATGAACTATGTGTAATCTCCAAAACCCCACAATTCTGGCCTACAAAAAGAGCAAATTCATCTAATTCAGTCAAATGAGAATAGCTAACATTTACTTACTGGGAGCATGATGTCGTTTAGTCTACACACAACTCCCCCTGGCACAGATAAGGGCCCTGAAACAAGGGTGTTGTCCGAGGCTGCCCAGGTGAACAGGGCTCCCAGGCGCACCCCGCGCCCAGCGCCTGGGAGCTGCGGTGCTGGCCCAGCCTTGCCCCAGGGTTGCTGGGACCCCAGTCTGCGTCCGCCCGCCCGCGGGGAGGGGAAGAATCCAGCCTCTGTGCCCAACGGCGCCCGCCGGCTCAGGAGCTGTTTGTTTTCTTAACGGGGTTAACCAAACCTCTGGAGCAGCAGAAGTCGAGCCCGAGTCCATGAAAGGGACTTTGTGTGCGGGCGGCGGAGGACGAGGGAGCGCCGAGCGGGGGCGGGGAGGCGGGGTTGGGGGGTGGCGGGCGGCGCGATCCAGCCCACCTGCAGGCCCGCGACCAAGCAGCCCGGAGAGCGGGTCGGGTCGGAAGAACACCTCCGCCCCCAGCCCTTGCCCTCTGCTCGGTCGTTGATCTTCATCCCCAGGCTCTATGTCTGGACAGCAGGGTGAGAGTGCACCCCCTCCCTGGCGGGGCTGGTGTGAGCTGTAACAGGCAGGCGTTTCCAACATGGCCCCCAACCGGGAGCATCAAATTCACCAGCGACCTTGTGGAAAACTCACGGGATCAGACTGCCTGCCAGGCCTACACATTCAGAAAACCCCAGTCAGGGCCCTATAACCTGAGTCTGACACTTAGCTCAGTGTTCATACAGGGAGCCAGCCAACACTCATACAGGAAACAAACTCTTCCTTTGACAGTAATAACTGCTCTGGAGTGTACATCATGTCAGGTGTTCCTCTTTACAGGAAAATAGTCTCTGGACGTTGTTTTATCTCCCCAAAGACATAAATGTCTCCAGATCCAGGATCTTGTTTTTCTTCTTTTGAATCTTTATATTCACGTATGAATGAAATGCCATAAAGTAAGGAGCTGTGGCTTCCCAGGTGGCACCAGTGGTAAAGAACCCGCCTGCCACTGCAGGAGACACAAGAGATGCTGGTTTGATCCCTGGGTAGGGAAGATCCTTGGAGGAGGGCATGGCAACCCACTCCAGTATTTTTGCCTAGAGAATCCCATGGACAGAGAGCCTGGCGGGCTACAATCCATAGGGTCGCACAGAGTCAGACTAGACTAAAGCAACTTAGCATGCAAAAGGAGCTGCAGATGTCCTACAAGAAATTTCACATCAGGTGCATCAAATCTCCTTTAACTGAGAATGAAAATCCATTAATTTGAGACTTCTCAGGAATACCTGAAAATTGAACAAATGAATAAGGTGGATAACCGTCTGCAGAGAGAGAGTAAGAGACAGAGAGCTAGGGGTCTGCCTCTGCAGGTGAAAAGGGGATTCCTGTTGTCCCTCCGCAGGCCCTCCTGTAACCCTTCAGCAATGCTGCTCCCTTCCCGCCTCTTTCCCAGGCGTTCCCCCTGTTCCCAGGCTTTCCCCAACAACCCCCCCACCCACCACCATTCATTCATATAGTCTTTCAAGCAACAAATATTTCTTCTGGCTGTCTACTACATGCTTGGACTATGGTGGTAAACTGCTGGCAAGAGACCATGTCCCTGAGCTGATGGTACTGAGTCTGGATGCTGAATTGGGGGCACCAGGGAGAAACACAATTTTTAAAAAACAGTAGGGCTTCGCTGGTAGCTCAGCTGATGTAGAATCCGCCAGCAATGCAGGAGACCCCAGTTCAATTCCTGGGTCAGGAAGATTTCCTGAAGAAAGGACAGGCTGCCCACTCCAGTATTCTTGGGCTTCCCTGGTGGCTCAGATGGTAAAGAATCTGCCTGCAATGTGGGAGACCTGGGTTTGATCCCTGGGTTGTGAAGATCCCCTGGAGGATGGCATGGCAACCCACTCTGGTATTCTTGCCTGGAGAATCCCATGTACAGAGGAGCCTGGTGGGCTACAGTTGCAGAGTTGGACACGGCTGAGTGACTTAGCACAGCACAGCAGTAATAATGGAGTAAGTGCAGAGACAGGGTGTTATAATAGGGTGGTAAGGAAGAAAGGCATCTTTGAAAAGGTGAGTTTTAGGCTAAGGATTGGAAGCTCTAGGCGAAGCCCACCAGGTGAAGAGTCAGGAAAGGGTGTTACACGGAGGTGAAATAGTGAGTATAAATGACCTGAGGCAGAAAGAGCTTGTTAGGTTTGACAACTGGAAGAAGGTCACTGGGGCTGGAGCCCCATGTCAGAGAGGGGAGGAGAGAAAATGAGATACGGAGGCTGGGCCAGGTCATTTAGAGCTCTGGAGATCGGGGTTAGGGGGAAAGGGGGGTTTTGTTTTAAGCACAATGCAAAGCCTTCGGACAGTGTTAAGCAGAAGCCTTGATAGTCAGTGCTGCTAGGTATAGAGTGGACTTTGTATGAAGGAGAGCAGTGAGAAAGAAAGGTGAGGTCCATTAGAAGATGTAGAAGATGTGGCAGCAATCTGGGTGGTAGGAATAGAAGGTAGACCTTCCTTAGGATGGGTGACCAAGAAGTTTAGAGGTCTGAGCATCCCCGGAGAGGACTAGAAGTGCAGGGTCCCTGACTTCTAGTGGAGGGGCCCTAGAGAGCAAGGGAGGAAATGAAATCCCAGCACTTCTCCTCATGTTGGGTCATTTCCCTTCCAGGAAGTTTCAGCTTCCTGATTGTGGCACCCTTGTGAGACGGAATTTGGGAGGAAATGATATAGGACATGGTATTGATAAGACCTGCTTGTCCCCATAGGGGGTCCTCCTCTCAGCCTCTCTGGGGGCAGAGCTGGGAATGGGAGTAGGGGGTTTCTGCTCCAGCACTGCAGCACCTCTGCACTAAGAAGGGAGGGAGTGACCCCATGGTCCCCCAACCCCAACTGCAAAGACATGTACTCTGCTTGCTGCACCTTCCCACCATGAAGACTTCTGCTAGGTATGAGTTCTTGGAAGAAGGGGCCTCCCCTTCCTCCATTGACCCCAAGACTTTCTGGGGAGAAGTCAGTGGAATGAAGGCTTGTGCTGAATGGGACAGTTCCCTTATGGGGGTGGGGAGGAGCGCTGAGAGCTGGGAGCAGAAGCCCCTACTAGCACTGGTGAGAGAGTTCTGGATTAAATCCTGCCACAGACCCAAAAAGATTCTTCCAGAAGAATGGGCAAGAGCAGTGTAGTGCCACTGTCCACAGTCCTCTTCCCCATCCATCGTCCTGTACATCAGCACTACCCACCTATGTCTCCAGGATGAGTTCACAAACTGCCATTTTCTCAAAATCTACTCTGCTGAGGGTTTAGCAGGGATCCTCTCACTCAACATTCCGACACTCTCCCGAGGGAGGCATATTATCCCAGGTTTTTTTTTTTTTTTTCTCTTTTTTTTTTTTTTTTTGAGCACAGAGATAAACAGTTGGGGAAACCCATGCTGTCTGACTTCTAAAGCAGAGCTTTGTCCCGGCACTGCCTCTCCCCAATCTGATGCAGGTTTGGGCTGAAAGATGATTGAAATGGAGGAATGGATTTGAAAATCTAGTGAATGGTGGGGCCTGTGAATGCTGGGGGAGAGGGATAATCAAAGCCAGCGTGCGTAGAGGTGGAAGTAAGGAGACGGAGGTGCAACCTGGTCCCGGGGAAGGGAGTGAGGAATGCAAGGGACGTCCATGGTTGGTCTGGGCCCAGCCTCCCTGCTTGCCCAGCATCCATAGGTGCTTACAATCCTTAGTAGGCGTTCAAACAAGAGCAGGTGAAATTGAGCTAGCCCGCACTCCTGGCAATCACTGGGCACTCGATGAATGTGGACACGTTGACAAACATGCCTCTCTGCTGAAAGGTCCCCACGCACTGCCGCCCCACTAGGCTCAAAGGGCCGCGCCCGCTTCCCGCCGCCGGGGGTCCAGCGTAATCGGCCCCTTGCAGGACCCGGCGGCGCGCGGGAACGCCCGGGGCGGGGCCTGCAGGCTCGAGGAGGCGGGGTCGGCCCGCAGGGGTCTAGGGTCCGCTTTCCGAGAGTTCGGCTGCGAGCGGCGCGCGGATGCTGGAAGTTCACATCCCGTCGGTGGGGCCCGAGGCCGAGGGCACCCGGCAGAACCCCGAGAAAGGCCACATGGTGAGCCGGGGCAGTGGATGGGAAGGGGCGCGGGGACCCACCGCATCTCCCCGCGCCGAATGCAATGGGGATCCCGCACTCCGGGCTCGGGCCCCCGAGCGCGGCGGCCCAGGCGGCCGGGGGACACCCTGTCGAGGGTCTCTGGGCCGCTGGGGTCTGCTCGCCCTGCCGACGGCGGTCCCGGCTTCTGAGGGACTGCACCGGGCAGAGTCCCCAAGTGTGCGGGAGCGTGGAGGGTCCCTGGAGAGCCGCGGAGCTGCCAGGCCGCTTTGTGCTTCTGTGGGCGGACGGTGGGCCGGGGGCGTCGCCGGGAGCGGGTCTGGCGGCGCCCTTGCGCCGGGTCTCACGCGCACCCGGCTGCCCGCCGGCGCCCGCCAGGTGTTCCGAGTGGAGGTGCTGTACCGCGGGCGCAGACACGTCGTGCAGAGGCGCTACAGCGAGTTCCACGCGCTCCACAAGCGGGTAAGGCTGCGCCCACCACCGACCCACGGACCCCGGCCCGGCTCCTGCCCAGCCCCCGCCCAGCCCCCGGAGGTCTCTGCCACCCCCATTACCTCCCCAGGCCCAGGAGAGCTCAGGTCTCGGACACAGACGTCCCCGCGGGCTGCGGAAAGGGCGCAAAGTTGGGCCGGTCCCAGACTCTGCTCTTCGCGCCTCTGGGCGGCGGGTCTGGCGTCCTGGCTCTTGGGGGCGGAGGCCGGTAGTTGGGGGCGCCTCTCGCCCTTGTCCCAACCACCACTCACCACGCGGGTGTGTCTCAGGGTAGAGCCTGAAGTTCGGGGGTGGTGGCGGCGGGGAGGACTGGGGAGGGCTCTTGGCTGGGATGAAGCGAGCTTGAGAGGGCTCCACCCGGATGCTGTGATCGCACTGCGGTAACCTCCTGGCAGATCAAGAAACTGTACAAAGTGCCCGACTTCCCCTCGAAACGCCTGCCCAACTGGAGGACCCGAAGGTTGGAGCAGCGGCGGCAGGGCTTGGAAGCCTATATCCAGGTTTGCGTGGGTCTCCGTCTATTGCCCCTCAGTCGACAGGACCAGAGTCGGGGGACCCAAGCAGAGAGGTGTGGGGACATGGGGTGAGGGGGACCCATATTTATTGGCCGATACTTTAAGGCTCAATTTTCCAAACAGTAAGGGGCTCCTCCTGATGGCTCAGTGGTAAGGAATCTACCAGCAGTGCAGGAGATACAGGTTCGAACTCTGGGTTGGGAAGGTTCCCCTGAGAAAGAAATAGCTACTCACCCCAGTATTGTTGCCTGGAGAATGCCATGAACAGAGGAGCCTAGCAGGCTACAGTCTATAGTGTCACAAAGTCGGACATGACTAAAGTGACTTAGCACTCGCGCACAATGGGTCTAAACATCCCTCTCTGAATTGGTAGGATTGAGTGAGGGGGTCAGCAGACAGGTGATCCCAGTAAGATGAAGGCTTGTTCTCTTTTCCTCCAGAGTGAGATCCTGTGCTGCCCTCATGATAAGGGTGGAGGCCCTTCCCCACTCTCCCACACAGTTATGCCCATTACAGTCGAGGCAGGCTTCTTGGGCCAATCTGTGTAGTCACCTGGGGCTAGTGCGAAGGGCTCTAGCTTTGTTTCATGCTCTGCTCTGGCCGTCTTGAACTTCTTTAGAAGGGCTCTAGCTTTGTTTCATGCTCTGCTCTGGCCGTCTTGAACTTCTTTAGCAGAAGGGCCCCAGGTTTTCATTTTGTACCAGGCTCTGCATATTACATGGCTCAGTCTGATTACAGGTTTTCTCTGTTCTCTTCTCCAGGGCATCCTATACTTGAACCAGGATGTGCCCAAGGAACTACTGGAATTCCTGAGTCTTCGGCACTGGTCCACAGACCCCAAGGCCAGCAACTGGGGGTGAGCATCCATCCCTACAGGGGCTTGGCATGGGAGGGCCCCCAGGGCTGGGGGGATGGGGGCTCTCTGCAGCCAGCAGGTGAGGAGGCCAAGCCCCTTTCCTTCTCATATCTACCAGGCCATAGCCTGGTCCTTCCTCTTTGAGACATGATCTCCCTGGTCATTTTCTTGACCCAGTGGAGGGGCTGTTTTCTGGGCACCTTGGTTACCCTTGCTGCCTCAGGAACTGAGCCTGTTACCAGTAGAAGCAGCAGTCCCCTGGGAGGTAAAAGTCGGCTTCCGCGTCTCCACCCTTGCCTCAGGCTCCCCCAGGCGGTTCACAGCCACTCTCTTCAGCTCCCTGGGGGAGTGCCTGCCTGCCGACAACAGGCAAGTCCAAGTCTCCATCTACCCTGGGCTCCTGCTGCCCCCCCGTGGCCACGTGCTAGGGCCTCACGCCTCTGGCCTGTCCCTATGGTCCAAGTTTTCACCTTGATGCCTCCTGATACCATTGCCCACTTTTCCCCTGCGGGTCCTTGGCGATATCAGTTCCTGGTCTCCATCCAACCCGAGACTTTTTCTCTGCCTCCCCCTTCACTGTTCATGACCCCTTTTTTTCTTAGCTCGCAGCTGTACCACCGGCCTGTCGTCAGCTTCCCCATGGATCCTTACATCTGCATCCCATCCCCAGGTGAGATGTTTCCTCTTGACTTATAATCCACATTTAGGGCCCAGGTAGCAGGGTGGGAGCGAGGGTGAACTTGGTATCTCTCAGCTTTCAGGACCACCGGGCAGCATCTCCCTCCTACTGCCCTTCTTTGGGGCCACACCTCCCTGCTGCCCTTGTAGTCTTTGTATTCTCCAGGGAACAGACATGGTGAAACGAGCTTGGCTCCCTTGCTCTCCGCTCCTCACCAGCCTGACTTTACCATAGATGTGAACAGAAAGTGAACTGGAAATGCCAAGGCCTCATTTGGGGTAGCCAACTGCTACCTGCTGCCTTGGCATGGGCTCCTCCTGTTCCCCAGAGTGGGGGGCGGGGTGGTGGCAGTGATGGGGGGAGGTGCCTATGGGCAGGAACTCAGGGAGCTGCAGGCCACCCCACACCTTCTCTTGCCTGGTGGCCCCTACCCCTTCCTCCTGTTTTCCTGCTGTCCTAGAACCTCTGCCCAACATGGTGGTGCTCGGCGTGCTCCAGGGCCTCTATGGCTTCAATGCCAGCACAGCTGAAGCCCAGCTGGAGGCCGCCTGTCACCCTGCTCCAATGCCACCGACGCCCTGACCAGCGCAGAGGCTTTTAGGCCACCTGCCAGAACAGTCATGTGCCTCAGTCCTCAAGCTGGGTCACCCTTGGCCTGGATCCAGGACTCACCAATCTCCACCCCTCTGGGCTCAGAACTCAGCTGCACTGATATCTGAGGTAGTGGAATCCTAGAACTTAGGGCCAGAGCAGGAACAGAGAGTTGGAAATCAGGGGAGAATTCCTTTATAATTTTCATAGCCCACCAATCTGCCTGCACTGCAGGAGACTCAGGTTTGGGAAGATCCCCTGGAAAAGGGAATGGCAACCCACTCAAGTACTGCCTAGGGGGGACCGGGATGGGGAATACATGTAAAAAAAAAAAAAAAAAGATACACTATGGTTGTGATAAAATAAATAAATAAATTAAAAAAAAAAAAAAAAAAAGTACTGCCTAGAGAATCCCATGATCAGAGGAGCCTGGTAGTCTACAGTCCATGGGGTCGCAAAGAGTCAGACACGACTGAGCGACGAGCACTTTCATGAAAAGTTGCAGGTGCATGCCCTCCCCGCCTCCTAGTGTAGGAGGTGGAGAGGGCATGCAAAGGTTGAGGCTCAGTAGCTGGCAAAGTTTAGAAGCAAGTGGCAGAAGCTCCAGCTTGAGATTTTGTGCACAACACATGGGCAAAGGGTGCAGGCACCCAAGGAGGGGACTGGCACCACTGCCATAGGAGCCCCCATCCAGCTGGCACTAGACTTGGAAGGAGGTGCTGAAGGGCCCAGAACCCAGCGCATACACAGATTACTAAAAGAAAAAAAAAAAACACCATTTTTTTTATTGGTCAGTGTTGGCAGGAGTTTGTTACAAAAGTGGGCCCGTGGAATGGGAGGGGAGGGGCCCGCCCCGTCAGATGCCAGCCCTGGGACCAGCGCAGCACGGAGCCCTGTGGCGGGCTCTCTTCACCCCTGGGAGGGCGACAGGGCCACAAAGACAGTTGCTCAAAGGGAAGAGGTCCCTGGGGCCCTATTCCTTGGCAATGGCAAAGGGCTTCTCCACCTCGATCTTGCCGCAGTCTGCGATCGTCACATCCTTCAGAGGCTTGTCCCGCCCATCGGTCTTGGTGCTTTCCACCTTCCGTACTACATCCTGGGGAGGAAGGCAGAGTGTCAGGTCTGCGCCGCCAGGGGGACAGGCCCCAGGGTGCAGCTGGGAGGGCTGCGACCCACAGGAGGAACAGCGTACAAACCATGAGGCACCAAGATCCTAGGGGCATTGTGACTGGGTGCCCACCCGGGTCAGAGAGAACCCAGCTTTGACAACAGGAGGATGCAGAAATTTTGATCCTCTGAAGTACCACCCAGGCTGGGCTAGGGGTATGTTGAGGGGGGGATGGGGAATGGGTACCAAGTGGCTTCTCCAAGATAGCGTGTCCAGCTGGCCTTGTACAACTAATGGTGGAGCCATGACATGATTGAGTGACAGTATGAAGTAGCTTTATCTGTGCAGCCTCAAAGAGGCCTCCTGGTCAGCCTCTGCCCGGGGCCTTGGAGGGATTCAGAATGTGGGGGCACGACTTCCCTGGTAGTCCAGTGGTTAAGAATGCACTCGCCAAAAAAAAAAAAAAATGCACTCGCCTAGTGCAGCAGGCGCAGGTTCAAATCCTTCACTGAGAAACTAAGATCCTGCATGCTGTGGCCAAAAAAAGAAAATGAACGTGGGGGCATAGAGGTAGGCTGTTGATTCACAATTCACCCCAGATTTGCACAAATAAAAATTGGTCTGAATCTGTATGTTCCCTTCTGGGAAAGGGATAAAATATATGGATCCCCTGCCCTGGTCTGTGTCAGATCTTGGTGGGGGTGGGGTGGGGGCGGGGTTTGCCCAGGGGTAGCCTCAGCCCCCCAAACTCACCATGCCCTCTAGAACTTTGCCGAACACTACGTGCTTGCCATCTAGCCAGGCAGTCTTGACTGTCGTGATGAAGAACTGAGAGCCGTTGGTGTCTTTGCCTGCATTGGCCATGCTCACCCAGCCAGGGCCATAGTGTTTAAGCTTGAAGTTCTCATCGGGGAAGCGTTCACCGTAAATGCTCTTACCTGAGAAGAAAAAGAAGGTCAGGGAGCTGGGGTGGGGGTGGTGGGCAACAAAGCCGACCTTTGGGGTGAGGATTCTAGAGGCCGAACCTGTCCCCCAGGCCAGGCCAGGCTCAAGTGGAGTCCAAGGACACATGCACCAGCTTCCCACCCTCTGGCCCTGGAGCCAAACCATGGTGATAGCTAAAGTGGGGCATGAGGCCAGGCTGACAGAGTGAACTGTACACATCATGTGAGAAGATAGCTTTATGGCTTTCAAGTAAGGCACATATTAGAAACGACCTCGGATGTGGCCTCAGAGGCTTGCCGTGGAGACTTTAGTGGAGAAGAGGTGCTGGGCAGGATGCAGGGGGCCGGGGAGGGTAAGAAGCCTCCAGAAAAGGAGGACTGCTGGAGCTGACCAGCTTTTCTTCCTAAGAGCACAGAAGATGCTGAGGAAGCTCCAAGCAGGAAGAGAGATGAGTGGGGAGGGGATACCATTTGAGTTCTGGAAAGTCAAGAGCCTCATGGACAACTGAACCCCAAAATAAAAGGTGACTCTGAGTGCGTGTATTATGTCTGCGTGAGGAGGGTCTGGGGCCTGGGAGCGAGACAGGAGCCAAGAGCACATCTCTACCTATCCCTACCTTCCAGAGACCCTAACTTCAACTCCCAAAGCTAGGTCCAGGGGAAAACACTGCACCCTCCTCTGTCCCTGTGAGATTCACACTGTGCACTAGAGGCCCCAAGAAACCCAGCAGCAAAGAAGTGATTTTCACTTTGTTTTACTCAACACCTTTCAAACTTATTTGCATACAAAACCTTTTTCTCCTCCTTCATGATTCAACCAGACAGATGAAGAGCCTCTTAAGGATAGTTCTGGAGCGGAGTAGTGGGACCAAAAATAAGCTATTTTTATTTGTATATTGAAATGTAAAAAGAAAATTGTCAACTCTTTAAGAAAAAAGATTCCCATGTGAGAATCCTTTGTAAAACTCAGCCAACTGCAGGATTTTGACTACTGCTGCTATCCAGAAAACCCCCACACCTATATACTTAGCTCCCATCACTTTCACAAGATACAAGGAGTCCCAAACTTCAACAGACAGCGAAGGCTGTAAACTCAATATGCTTTGTCGTCTTTCTCTCCAGACTTCGGTTATCCTCTGCGCCTCAGCGCTGCCCTCACCCCCACCGTCCTTCCTTCCGTGCCCGCTCCCTCCACTGCGATCACAGCGGAGGCTCACAGCGGAGGCTCAGTGGGAACAGTGTGCCAGAGGACTGGTGCAAGCATCTGACACATTAAAAAAAACCCACCCCGTGAGGCAGGACCTAAGAGCCCCCTCCTCCTCAAAGATAAAGAAAACAAGATAGAGACAAGAGGTACCCTCGCTGGGAAGCAGCAGTGGAGTTCAAACCAAGGTGGTCTGGTTCTCAAATCTCTGCTCTTACCCTCTAGGAATCCTCCTTGGGTTCAGGCTCACATTGCTCGATGCAGGGGCAGCTGTACCAACCCCCTGCCAGTCTGCTTCTCCTGCGTCCATGGCCTGAATCCACCACATCATCCCTCAAAACTCCCCTGCCATCAGGCCTTGCCCCCATTCACGTCTTCAGCAGACCTTCACTCTTTGGAGGACAAAGCCCTGGGTCCTGGGCCTGGCCCCGGCCTTCCACCCTGGGCTCTTGGTGAGAGCTCCACTTCCATCCTCCTGACCCATCTTCGACCAAGCCCTTGCCGCAGAGCTGAACACATGCCTTAATCCTGCCTCTTCCTTGCCCATTCAAATTCTCCTCAGTCAGGGCCCAGCTCAAATCCTCATGTTTGCAAGCCTATTTCCTGATCACCTTGGCCCAAAGCAGGCTTCCCTGGTGGGTCAGACAGTAAAGAATCTGCCTGCAGTGTGGGAGACAATTCCTGAGTCAGGAAGATCCCCTGGAGAAGGGAATGGTTACACACTGCAGTACTCTTGCCTGAAGAATTCCATGGACAGAGGAGCCTGGCGGGCTACAGTCCATGGGGTTGCACAGAGTCAGACACAACTGAGTGGCTATCACTTTCACTTGGCCCAAAGTGAGTCCTTCGCCTGTCAGTGTTTCGAGGATGGCTGGCTTTCCTTACCGCTCGCTGGGCACTGCACACTCTAATCTCACCTCACCACTCCCAGCACCCACAACTCCTGACACCTAACTCTACAGACAGGAAACTGAGGTTCAGAGGACTTGCTTGCCTGCGGTCACAAAGTAAGAGGTGGCAGACACTCAACAGAGGGTCACTCCATGGATACGGTGCTTTGTATCATGTCTGCTTGTCCTTCTTGTCCAGCCAACTATGACTTACATCTTGTGTCACTTTCCTAGTGATTTCTCCTAGTTCTTCCCACCTAAATGATGAACAACTTGAGGACAGAGCGTTAGCCCTAAAAGCTGTGTCACAGCCTATTTGTAACTTTCCAGGTACTGGAAGTGAAAGTGAGTTGCTGTCCCACTGATTTTTTTGTTCTGTATCCTCAGCACCCACCACAGAGCCTGGCCCAGTCAATACTGATCGGTTGGGTGAGCTGCAGCTGCGGTCTGAGAGAACAGCAAGCTGTACACCCAAGTGTGGTGACACCTGCGGGTTAGTCCAGGGTGTCTGTCTGTCCTAGCGTACAAAGAGTGCAGGGGTCAGACTGGCAGCTCTTGTCAAGTGCTCTCTGGTGAGAGACTGCCAAGGAAAGCAATTTCTCTCAGTCCTGTTGGGGCCTCCCAGGTCACCACACGAGCTTTGGATACCTGACCTACAATCACCTACAGGTGGGTTTTGCTCTGCTTCCCTCCCCCCAGCAGGTACTGTGGGGAATGTCAGAGGCTGTAGGGCTTGATAAGCATGTCGGCCAGCTATGCAAGATCCTCCCATGTCTGCCTGAAACCCATGCCCCCCTCTCCGCGGCACCGGGCTCCCTGGCCGTCCCACCCTGGGGCTGCCCTGAGACAGCCCTGTGCCCAGAGGACTTGAGGTTACCTCCAGTACCATCTCCCCGCGTGAAGTCTCCACCCTGGATCATGAAGTCCTTGATCACACGATGGAATTTGCTGTCTTTGTAGCCAAATCCTTTCTAGAAAAAGGAATAGGAAGGTGAGAAGGTGGCGTGAGGCACGAGGCAGACACTAGACAGGCCCTGCAGAAGAGAAAACCCTGCCACAGATCCATCCTTCAACGTGCTACTGGGTGACTAGTGACCAAAGTCCAGGCCAGGAAAGGCAAAGATCCCACGTTCCTCAGCCTGTATACAATTACCCTTCACATAATGCCTCTAGCTTTTCCCTTACATTTCCTAATCATAGGAAGAGATGCAAAGAAACTGACAGGGGAAAAAAAAAAAATTACCTGCTGATGCAATGGGAAGCTGGAATGCAAACTTTCTTAAATGAGGAATTCTGTTCCCTAAAACCTGGAAAGCTCTGGGCCTCTCACTCTGGGGCAGAGGCCACAAGCTAGTTTCCCTAGATGTTTCCTTTAATTACTCAAAAATGAATAACCAAGGTCTCAGAGATGAAAGTTTTCTCTGATTTAGATTTAGTTTTTAAAACTCTCGAAAGACGCGATACCCCTGGATCCCCAGGGCCGAAGGGTACAGCTGGTACTGAGGTCACTGCTGTGGGTGGGCCACGTTCTGCAGGTCAGTTTGCTGTCAGCCCTACGTGCCAAACTTCACTGCCTTTGAGTTTGGCTACCCTGCCTCCAGCCACTTACCTCTCCTGTAGCCAAGGCCACAAAATTATCCACTGTTTTTGGGACGGTCTTTCCAAAGAGACCGATGACCACCCGGCCTATATCTTCATCTCCAATTCTCAGGTCAAAGTACACCTGAGGAAAAAGGCCATTAAAACTTAGCATCTTAAAAGGGGTCTTCCTAGGGAAAGAAGGGCCAAGAAACTACCCAGAAGATGGTAGAGAAAACAGAACCAGAACCATATTTTAATAGCAGAGTTTCTGCATCTGATTTTGGTGGTGACAAACCCCCCACGAAAATCTAATGAATGCTCCATATGTTAGTTTACACTCTCTTTTCACTATTGGGTAACAACCTTGGCTCTAAATAAATAATGGGCCTAGACTCCAAAAATTAACATCAAAACCCATCAAGAGGGGAGCCCAAGCACACCACTCAGGTTTAAACTACACTGCTGTGTTTTGAAATTGAAAGTGATTAAAATCTGGCCTAAGAAGAGAAAGGACTAACAATTTGGCAGACGCGATCTTTTACCATCTTCCTAGCACCCGAGGTATTTGCAAAGTCTGCAAGCCCGGCCCCAGCTGGACATGCTGGGTCAGGGCCGGGCGATTGGGGTGGGTCCGGGTCATTCTCCAGTCTGAATGCGTGAGGATCGCCCAGGTACCAAGAGGCCACAGTAGGGAGACTAGGGAGGGACAGAGCCAAAGCCGGGGACACCCAGGCCCGAGCTCCGGACACATGTAGCCAGCTGGGCCAAGGCCTGAACACTGGAGGCGAGGGCGGGCCTCGCTAGGCAGGTCTGGAGAGGGGAGGCCAGACCTTAACAGTGACTTTGGGCCCCTTCTTCTTCTCATCGGCCGCGGACGGTCCAGGCAACAACAGGAAGAAGACGGAGCCCACAACCAGGGCGGCGACGAATAGCACCTTCATGTTCCGCTCCGAGAGGCGCAGCATCCACCGGGAGAAGCTAGCGCGGCTCGGGCGCCGAGGCCGGAAGAGGGTGGGGATGCGGCGACGTATGACCCAGCGCCTCCACCGAGGGCATCCGGGGGGGGGGGAACGGGGCTCCTGCAGGACTCCGAGAGGGAGGCGGGCCCCATTTTCCCCCCTCTAATTGGGCGCCGGATGGTAGGTCTCGACGGGGGGCGGAGCCCGGCTCGCCGACTGGGGCAGGCGGAGACGTCGGCTCGTGGGTGGCTGCCACGTTACTGCAGCCGCATTGGCTCCGCAGCTCGCCGATACCCATCAACGGGAAGGGATCAGCGGAAGGCGGCACCGCCTCCAAGAGCCCAGAGATTGGGCTGCTGGAAACTACAAGCCCCAGCAGACAGAGCCCGTGGCCGGTTCCTTTACGGGAGTGGAAGTCGTTTGGCAGTTGGTGACCAATGCTTTAGGTTAGGAAGTCTGTGCACGGGGCAAGAAGACATTCGTCTTTGTCCGTGTGGGCCAGTTAAGGATTAGTCACCACCGAATTGGATTTGAGTGTGATAACCTTCAAAAACTCTGGGTACGTTTGTGCCTACTCACCGTATAACCTTCCCAGGTGGCTGAGATGGTAAAGAATCTTCTGCAATGCAGGAGACCTGGGTTCCATCCCTGGGTCGGATGGATCCCCTGGAGAAGGGAATGGCACCCACTCCAGTATTCTTGCCTGGGGAATCCCATGGACAGAGGAGCCTGGCCCGCAGTTCACACTGAGGAAAATTGTTTACCAAGCTAGTTTTCAAAGCAGCCTTTCTCCACAAGAGGAACTAATGCTAAAATAGCCTAAAGGTAGCCTTCTTCCACCAGCGACCACCGCCAACCCCCAACCCCCCCGACTTTTGGGGAAAAAATAAGCTTGATGGATACAGTGCTCTCAGTATGAAGTTTTTCTTTCATGATTATTTTTTAAAAACTTAATTTTATTTTTGACTGTGCTGGGTCTTCAATGCTGCGCAGGCTTTTGTCTAGTTGTGGTTACGGTGAGTGGGCTTCTCATTCCGGTAGCTTCTCTGGTTGCGGAAAAGGGGCTCTACGGTGTACAGGTTTCAGTACACGAGGGTCCCACGCTCTAGAGCACAGGCTCAGTAGCTGTGGCGCATGGGCTTAGTTGCTTCTCAGATTTTCCCCGACCAGGGATTGAACCCATGTCTCCTGCATTGGCGGGCTTCCCTGGTGGCTCAGCTGGTAAAAGAATCTGCCCATAACTCGGGAGACCTGGTTTCAATCCTTGGGTTGGGAAGATCCCCTGAGAGGGGAAAGGCTACCCGCTTCAATATTCTGCCCTGGAGACTTCCATGGGCTGTGTAGTTCATGGGGTGCAAAGAGTTGGACATGACTGAGCGACTTTCACTTTCCCTCCTGCACTGGCAGGTGGATTCTTGACCACGGAGCCTCCAGGGCAGCCCTGTAATGATGATCTTAGAGGTGTTTTTCATTAGTGAAGGAAGAACATTTAAGTAGTATTGAGCAGTAATAGAAAAAACTGGAACCAGACAATCTTGGCCAGGTTGGTGGTGGTTTTGTGCTGTATATGCCACGGGTGATTTTAGATTGTTACATAGTTACATCATAGTTACACCTTCTGTCTGTATAGATGTTCCTCATTAGCAGAGCAGAATTACAAAGCTGCCATTTCATAGTTGTTTCAGAGCAGATCTTAACTTCCTGGTATTCTAGCACTGAAGAACCACAGGGATACAGGGAGTTCCTGTATGTGATGAATGTCCAAAGTAAGTGATGAATGTCCAAATTCTTCTTTAAAGTGACTCACCGGCTAGGGCAATGTTCAACCCAAGAGAATGATGCAAGAGTGTGAAAATATCAGGCATTATTTTCATTCCTGGAGCCTTCAATCATACTGAAGTTAGTCCTAGCTGGATTCTTAGTTACAAATGAACCAGGAGAGGTTAAAACCAAACCAACCAACCAAACAAGCAAAATTAGCCAAGAAAGGTAAGACATTTTATTTTACATACAAAAAGGGTGCAAACTGAGTCCTTTCCTCCCCAGACTGGAGAAGAGGTATACTTAAAGATCACATTTGTGTTTTCCATGGTGCCCTAGGAAATGGGCTACTCTGAGATAATATCAAGGCCCGTTTCCATTCACTTCAAAGGCAGCTACTTCCTCCGCAGAGGAGTTTTTATTAAATGGTGTACAAATCTCTCTCCTGGAGGAACCATTTCAAATACACCTGAAATTGACATTCATGTTTAAAAATACTACAAGTTTCATTTTCACAGCTGAGCTTTGCAGACCAGTGCCAGGGTTTATGAAACAATATTACATATCTAAAAGAAAAGGTTAAAAAAAAAGGCATTTAACAATAATCACATCCACACATCAATTAAAACTGATTTCCACAGCTGATTTACACATTATCTAGTCTTAAAAAAACTGCAATCAACATCCCAACATCTTTTTGAAAGTACAATGGGCAAAGATGTAAGAAACAGACAAAATAATAATATAATAAATTAGAGCATGTATACATCCAATAGGAATTGAATCAACATTATTTTCCATGGCTGGGGGGGGGGAGCTTATAATATTTTTGGTTTCATCTCATTTATTTTCTGCTGTTAACTCTTCTGCTTGATAAATGGGGCTCATTCCCAGAGCTTGCTGCTACACTAGAAACTCACTCGTTTCTTGTTTACTTCTGAAAATATTCAGGAACACATGGTCCAGCAGCCTGGGCTGTTTTTTTTTAAGGTGGGTTGTGAGTCTTTATGGAAATGAAATGGACACAGATGAGCGCTGGCATGTGCAAACACACACACACACACACACGGGCATACAAATGCAACCACACACACCCATCTGTATAGTCCTCCCCTTCCCCCACCCCTCCCCCCCAAGAAATGGCTCATCTTCCTGAGACATTCCTAACAGATCGATAAGCCTCTTAGAAAAGCTTTCGGTGTAAGAGCTGGCCTGGGATTTGGTCTGAAGCTCATGAAGGGGAACACTGAAAATGTCTCACCTGCTCTGAAAGAGGGGATTTTCGGGAAAGGGGCAGTCAGGACAGGTGTCCTCTTGTATGTTACTGGGACGACTGCATGGCATCCCTGCTTCTTACCATGGACAAAGGTGGTGATGGCACTGGGAAGATGATCGTGAGGAGTACAAGAACAACAGTAAAATAAATTCCATCCACAGAACTGAGGTTCTTTTATAACATGGAGTTTGGTAACCAAACTAGAAATATACGGAGTACACGTTCACTTTTTTCCTTTGTAATACAAGCGGAGCTACAAATACACATTGGAGTGGATTTCCTGGTTGCTTTTTTAAGGAAATATGTCAACTACTACTGTCTATATCCAGGGAACCTACTTACTATTTTGAATACAGTGGAGAAATCTATTCTTTTGCACTCAGTCACCTGCAAAAGGAATTAGGAAAAACAGATTTTTAAGACTGCTTAATTGATCAAAGATTTCCAAGATTCCTTACTTGTGGCTAAAACACTGCTTAAGACGCTGCAAACCCTCAAAAGGGTCATGGTTTCCTTATTCATAAACAAAATCACTCCCTTTCCACACCAAAAAAGTACAACCCACAGGCATCCTATTTTGATTCCTAGCAATCCGTAAGGAGGAACATTGGGAGTCACTGGCTGTCAGCCTCTAGGCAGGACCTTCCTGGAGCCCTGGAGTTGGCAAAAGCAAGAACCCCAGAGAAAAGTGCCTGTTGCTCACGTCAATCCAGATGGGGTGCCGAGTCATCCTGGCCCCCTAAAGGTTTCTGGAATTCATCTGCCCACCTTGGATCAATGGTGGGGATGGTGGCAGTGGCCTCGCAAAGGCAATGCTGGCTGTATGGCACCGCAAGCTCCTGATCTGAGAAGTTCCAGCTCTGATGTGGCTCTGACACTGGAGACAGCACTGGCAGAGCAGTTCACTGAGAGTGAAATCTGGTGTCAATATGGAAACAGAAGAGGTGACTGGGACACAGGAGGAATGTAGACATACATTAAATGAAAGATCAATTTCCTTAGAGGAGATACTTTCTAGGCTGCCATGAAAGCACTTATATTTTTGAAAACTGCAGGCCATGCTGCTCACTGGAAGAGAGACAGGTTGTCTTTTGCATAAAAAAGGTTAAGGCTATGATCTTTAGTAACCACTCTGACATAACGTCACCCCCACTTATTTCTGACAACAAAAGTGATTACTAACACTGAGAACCAACACTGAATATGTACTCCCAATGTACATTTCCAGTGAACTAAGTTGGAAGGTACTTTCAAGGCGACGGACACCTTTTCTGGCTGACAGGAGCTATTTCTATGAACTTGGAGTTCACTGAGAATGAACAGGCAATCAACCCTTCTCCTGGAAAACTCAAAATCCTGCTATCTGTTGCCCCTGCATTTCAAAGTACAGCGGGGCTTTAATTGACGGCCAGCCTAGTCACCTGACTTTGTACCTTCCCAGACCCTGTTTCCTCCTGGACGACCCCAAATGGCAGGAGCGTGTTAATGAAGGCAGTGAGAGCACACTGCTACTGGCACACGTTCCATCCTTGGGGAGCCATCTGGAGCAAGATCACTGGGGAATGCCAAGGGATGCACAGCAAGCGGCTGACCCTTACGTGCTTAGACTGTCACGCTCTGGTCACAAGGGAGGACCATTTCCATCTTGGTGGATTCCTGGCCTGCTTGCCTCGATCTGTTCAGGATGCAATGCCTGAAGGATGGCAGGGCTTCGGAGAACCCCGGCTGTTGTTAGTGCTTAATGCTAACTCAGCAACAACTGCATCAGTCCTGAAGAAGACCCCTAGGTATCACGGCTGTGAAGTGGGGAAGTGTACGGACTATGGAGCAAGCGGATTTGGGTGGGTGGTAGGTGGAGGGAATGCCCATGCCAGAGGACCTGGCCGAGAAATGGAGGTAAGCAACGATAGCAACAGGGCTGAGGCAGCCCTAATGGGATGTGCTGATGGGGAGGGAACTGATGGCCAAATTACTCCTTAGGTACTCTTTTTAAATGATCACAACAGAATATCTCAGGGGTCTGGAACCACCCTGGAGTGCCAATGGCCCTGGGAGGATCACCATTACTTGGCATGCCAGAAAAATCTGGGTGTTTCACTTTTGTTATGAAAAATCAAATATCTGATAGATCTGTGAGAGGCTGAGGGTGAGAATAGTGCATTAAGAAGAACCCCCCACAACTGCTCAGGTTCAGTCCCCCAAGAGGCAGCATTTAAAACAAACTTAAGACCCCCCCAAAAGTCATAAATCCAGCTTCAAGAGGGCCCGCCCTGTAGCCAAGCTGGGAACTATCTTTTGCTTTCCTTGTGGAAGTGGGGAGGCACTTAGTGGAGTATGGAGGGCCAGGGACACTCCAGACTTCGCCACTTGCCCTTGCCCTCCCTTGAGAAGCAAGGCTTTTCTATACTGGGATGTGGAAGTTAAAGATTCTGTACAGGAAGTTAAGAGTTACCCAAATTGAGAAGTTACCCAAATGCCAATTGAGAAACTATCTAGGTTTCAGTGACAGTGCCTGAACCACCAGCTGATGTCAAGGAAGCAAACCCCAATATTCAAATTTACTGTGGGGAAGGGGTGTGTCCCTGAATCTCCCAGCCATTCTATTTACAGGAAAATTTCTTTTAAAAAATGAAAGATCACAATCTTTACATAAACTAGGCAAGTTTGAAGCCAATGAAGTGGCTAGCCAAGGCCCAGTGGAACACAAGTGAAGCCCAGTAACTCTGTTCCACGTAAGATACATCAAGGGACCTGTCACGGAAAATATCAACTACCAGAAAGTAGGCCCACACCCTCCAGTCCAAAAGACAGCTCTACACTTCAAGCCAGAGGCACTACTATGTTCCCCAAACCCCCAGACTAAGTCACCAGTCACTATCCCCCATGGTTAGCTCTCTCTACCCCCAGATACAAGACCTCACTCTCTGATGGACTGAATCCTTTCTCCTCGGTCTTCTCTGGAATGAGAAATCACTACTTGGATAAGTCACTCAACTCAAATGAAAATCAAGCATGAGGAGATTAACTCCACACACTGATGACTTTTCAAGCAGTGAGTGAGGAACTGAGACACTTCAAGGCAGCATGTCCTGTCAATAGCATGGGGGAACGTGGAGAGTGGACTGGTGAGAACAGGCTGTAGACACGTGGCTGTCTTATCTAGCAGGAGTCAATGTCCAAGTGAGAAGATGACTCCATACCTTTCATTTCAGTCTCCTTTCCCCTGGAATTTTCCAGCAGTAACCAGCCCTACCCTCCTGTTCACTTAGAGCCCCATGTACTGAGTCCTAAGCTTGCTGCTGTGGACCTGTTGGAAGAAGATCTGCAGATGCTTGGTTTCTGATAAGGCAAGCAAGCCAGCCCAAATGCTGTAACCCATCTACTGGGGCAGAGAGTACACACCAATTTTATTTCATGGCCCCCGTGATGAGCCAAATCCTGAGGTTTCCTCTGGCAGTTGGAAGGCAGGATCACTTTCCTCCTCCTTGTCCACTAAGTGGCAATATGGTGGTGGTGGTTTCATTACTAATTCTGTCCCCCAAGTCACTGAAGAAGTCACATGGCTATCTAGCTGGAAGTCCCTGGCAGTGGACAAAACAGGTATTTCCGGTTTTGTTAAGCATCTCCTTCTCTGGGATGAACTGTCTCCTGGTTGCAGTCTGGCTTGGACAGCTCCTCCCACGTGCTGGAGAGCGAGGCTGTCCAAACTGCAGGCTGATGAGGTCAAGAGGCTCTGGGAGGGACATTCTTCAGCAGCCGAGAAGACAAATGAAAATTCAAGTATGTTTCCCTGCTAACCTGAGTGTTCACTCAGAAGGGCACAGAGTTTGGCTTCTTTTCTTCCCGGGTGCTGCAGACCCAATTCTTTCCACGGATAATGTCCTCTGGACCCATGTTCTCTTTGCATGGCTTGACTGGCCCCATCCCCCTCCAAACAGAAAAAAAGTAAAAAATCCCAATATAACCAGACACAATATGCATCTGCCATGGTTTTTGTGTGTGTGTGTTAAAACAACAACGACAACGAAAAAGAGGGGGAAAAAAAAAACTAAAAGTGCAATAAAGTCAGTCTTTTCCTTTGCTCAGGACAACTTGCAACGTTCTACTATGACTGGAGAACAGAGTTCACTTGTTAAGAAAGCTGAGAGCGCCGACACGCAGGGACAGTAGACTGCAGATTCCTCACAGCTTGCGTGCTACAGTGTAACTTCACAAGAGGGAAGGAGGGAGTAACTTGCACCCCACGGCCCGCTGGGGGTGGAGGCTGCACAGGCGCGGAGGGAGCTGCGCTGCCGCCAACACACCTGGTGGGCGGAGAAGGTCCTTCCCCCGCTCGGGCCTGCGCCTCCCTCCCACCTTCCTGGCCACACCCCAAACCTCTTAAACTCCTTCCGCAGACAAAGCCTTCAGCTCCTTAGCTTGTGTGCTGGAGAGGGTTGAGGGTGGGGCAAGAGCCAGGAGTAACTAAGGGGTGGGAAGAGAACAGTAGTCCTTGAGTTTCTGTGAATGACACCGTCACTGTAAACAATAGGAAGGAGAGTCAGCTAGGCGGCCCAGGGGGCAAGCGGTGGAGACCGGTGGCTCTGGGACCTGCTCAGAGCCTTAGGCAGGTAGGGGTTGCCACTAACCCACTGGGCCCTGGCTGCCCACACGGGCTTCTTCTGGGGGCATCTGTTTTCTTCTTTTTGGTTTGGATCTCCACCCTCCCCCCACAGAGGAATCCCTTCCAATGAGAAATGGCAGGAGCTGCGGGTGCAATCGAGTCAGAGTCCCCAAGGCCTGAGGACTCCGGGGAGGCACTGGTCACTTGTGGCGCTGGGTGGTCTTCTTCCTTTTCCTCTTAAAGAAGCAGCAGCACCTGCAGCACAAGAAGATCACAAGTCAGCCTGCAGCTGGCACGGCTGCCTGCCTGCCTCTGTGGACTGCACCCACCCACAGGGCCGCCCACCATCTACGGTGCGGTGCGCATACGGAGGCAGTGGGCAGTGTCTGCAGGGAAAGCCGAAGGAAACCGCTACTTTACTGCAAACCCTATCATCGAAGGGCTGCAGGCAGGGCAGGGCTCAGGCAGGCGTTTTTGAAAGGATGAAGAAGGCTTCTTTCCTAGTCTTAATACCTCAACCTGCCATCTTTCTTTATACTGAACCAAGGCTGGGGATCCTCAAAGCTGCACTGTTTGCCCCTTAATACAGAAGGCAAAATTATTTAATGTGACTTTAGTGGTCAGTGGGTATGGAAGCTAAACTAAGGCCAAACAAATGCCAAGAAAAGTATGACGTCTGGAACTCTAGGAGGCTCTCATGATGCTACCAATGAAGGATTAAGGATTCTCCCTGCCCTGGTCAGCTACCTGGTGTAGGCAGAAGCCCTGACTCTAATAATTTAGTGAGCCCAGATCTCTTGACTGAAATCAGCACAGCCCATTCTTCATTTGGAGGATCAGTGCCACAATTCAGGAAGCAGCAGGTTGCACGGTCCTTCTCAGCCAGCTTTCTGAGGCTGCTGCTGGGCCAGACTGGGTTCAAGGACTGACCCTGTTTAGGGTGGCGGGTTGGGCCTGATCCCTTCATAAGCCCTCCAAGTGCTGCTTCCTGGGTGACAGCCACAGCTCCGCCACATCCCTGAGCTTGGCTAACCCCCCCCCCCCCCCCCCCCCGCCCCAGGACTGCTGTCTTTGGAACTGGAAGTCGCTCTTGCTCAGGCAGTGACTATTCCAGAAGGGGGTGACGAGGGCTGTGGCACAGCTGGTACAAAAGACATCCTTTCCAGGAAGCTAATGCATAAAAAATGAGAACACCAGGGGCAGAAAGTGGTGAGTGAGTCAAAGATGCCAGATGATGGAGGGTAGAGAAGCTGGAAGTGTAACTCAGGATTGCTGGATCCTTGAAAGAAAAGCTTTTCTCAGAAACTGTCTTTGGCTCTTTTGCCTAATCCTTTTGGGTTTAACATCAAAAGTATTCACAAAGAAATAAAGAGCTGTTGCTTACTTCCCTAAGCCCCTAAGTCCTCCACTGTAGCTCAGATTCCCTTCTTTTTCAGCCAGACCCATTGGTTTAATTTGCAACTTAGCTCATTTTGGTTCTGCCTTAATTTACTTCCCCAGCTTTTAGTTTAATTTGCAACTTAGCTCATTTTGGTTCCCAGCCAGACCCATTGGTATTCACACACCCAATGGACTAGTTATTAAAAATTTGGATAAAGTGTCTTCCTAGAATGCACAAATTGATGTTTACACAGAAAAATGATGGGCTTTAACCATATCTGAATGAATTAAACATGGAGATGTTGGAAACAGGCGCCTAAGAGAGGCTTTAAAAAAAAAAAAAACACTTTTTGAACAATTTTTTAAAAACACTGCTTTGTTTTTTGTTTTTGTTTTGTTTTAAAAACCATTTTATTTATTTATTTGTTTTGGGTGTGCTGGGTCTTTGTTACTGCCTGACGGCTTTCTCTAGTTGCAGTGGGCACGCTTCTCATTTCGGTGGCATCTCTTGTTGTGGCTCGTGGGCTGTAGGGCTTCAGTAGTTGTGTTGCACGAGCTTAGTTGCCCTGCGGAAAGTGTAATCTTCCCAGACCAGGGTCGAACCTGTCTGTGTCCCCTGCATTGGCAGGGAGATTCTTAACCATTGGACCACCAGGAAAGTCCTTAAGAGAATCTTAAAAAAGATTTTCTGAGAGTATGACGACACATGTGATGTACTATTAATGGGTGGCAATATAGTCACTAAACAAAGTGTCCTTTGTGTTTAGAGACTGCATAATTTCTTTTAAATAAAAATGACCAATATTTTTTATTATTTTCAGTCCTTAACGGAATATCCTTGGGGAAGGATTTTTTTAAAAAAGGTCTTTTTGTACATATACTTTAGAAACAGACATTTTTCAAGGTGAATGTCCAGAAATTATTAAATAAGGTGAATGAAATCTCATGGGAGCACCAATACTCCAGTAGAGCTACCTGTTCCCTGTTGACCATGATTTTCAGAGGGATCACTAACATTTAAGTCAATTTCTATTATTCTTTTCGGAGGGTGCTAAGATAATGATTTTGTGTTTTTAAGTAAGAGCAATCATTAAAAAGTTCACATACTGTTTTGGTCCAATTCAAATGATACAATTTTTCTTTTACCTCCTCCAGGGCAAGTCATAAAAATTAGTATCTACTGGTAAGCATATCATAACCTGATGTGCAAAGCCGAATTCACCTGACTGGAGGAGAGTGTAAGCTGTGGTTTAGAGCTTTAGATTAATTTTTGTTACTTACTATAGTTAGAACTTCAGCAGCAGCAGAAGCTTTTAATAATTTTCTACCCATGAGGAAATGGTCTCTGGAATCTACTCTTTGGTTTCTGTGGTGAGTACCAGCAATAGGACCTGTAAAACTTCATCAGACACCAAACCAGTCCACTGACTGACTCCATACAGATGTCTTATTCTCAGAAGAGGATGAAAGCCAAGTGATAAACCCTCCTTGGGTCTTGGGTTTTCTTCCAGCTGATTCTTTGATTTGCTCTCCCTTCAGCTTTTCCTGTATTATGCTTCTCTGCTGTACTGGTACACCCTTCCTTGGCTCTAATACTGGGGTTAAGCCCCACAGTACCCATCAAGTCTTCCTTAACCACCCCTGTTGACACTGACCTCTCAAGGGACAATCACATGTGGCCTTTCAAGCATGTATGTCTTACCTCTCCAGGTAGATTGCACCTAAGCTCTTTGGGGAAGGCCTTGGGACCCCCTAGAGTTCCAAACATAGAGTAGACAAGCACACAATAGGCCCTCTGCAGTTAGGATCATGCGACTGACATCTCACAGGAAAATATCGACCACGACAATGTCAGATTACACAGACACATGTCTGGTAAATAAATAGGCCAAATGTACTCCTTGGTACTGCAATACTACAAATTCTATCTCCACCAAACCCAACTATTATCTTCAATACACCCTGCCACTGGGGAAACCTTGCAGGCAACTTGGCTTAGACTGGGAGAAACTGGTGCCCAACCCAGTCACTGAAGACAAGTAGGAACCAGGCAGTAACAGAGCCCAGCAGACTGTAATCACCACACAGAATGTGATCCCAAGCATGCAGACAACGTGGGGGAGGACACCAGACCACAACAGGCCACAGCTCACAAGCACCTGGAAAGTCAAGGCAGTGTCCAGGGAAAGAGGTAGGAAGGGGCTCTGTCTTCCAGCAAGATGTGCCTCAGCCAACACAGAATCTTTAGGGCCTCCCCTTCAGCACACCTCATGCTGCAACTAAAAACGCATTCAGGGAACCTTTTCTGGGGGTGGAAACAAGAGGCCCCAATATCTCAGTCAAGTCAGTCCATGGCCCACTAAACCCTTATAGGAAGGGAAAAGGAGAGAAAAGCAGGGGGAAAAGACAGTAAATGAAAAACAAACAAAAAACTCAAAACAGCAACAACAAAATGTTCATCTTTCCCCCAAGAAGTAGCTCCCTTACTCAGAGAGACTCATATTCTACAGATGGAAAAATCAGCTAAACCAAAAAGAAAAGTCACAGATTTTTCCAAAGCTGCTAATTTCAAGGTTAGAGACCAAGCCACAGAATGTGAGATTATCTGGCAATGACTGTTGTGAGGAGTAACTAGATTCTGATTATACAACTGATACAGTAACTCGGTCTTCTTACCTCTGTCCCTCTCTGTCTGATAATATCTGGCTGTGTTAATTTCAGAAAAAAAATCTGCTCAGCTAAAAATGAAGAGACAATTTTGGATACTGTGGGATACTGTTTTGACAGGAAGAGGCAGCAGTGTAGTGGGTTTGAAAGGAGACAAGGAACAGATGAATTCCCAGGTACAGGCCTGCCCATCACCACCTTGTGGATCTAGCGCCCCGGCCTGGGTGGGGACAGCACAAGGTGGCATACAGAAGCCATTGAGTGTTCCTGAGGCATTTTGTTTGGCTTTGCCAATCCCAACCTAGCCTGGTCCACTCCCCGAGCATGTGAACTGGAGAGAGGGACTCACCACAGGTTGAGCATTTTCAGGCAGCTACAGAGTGTGTGAAGAGAAAAACACAGAAAGGAAGAGAGAGAAAGAGAGATATTAGTCCACAGAGGTGAGAGGAAAGCGACTCCCTGTGAGCCATGCAAACATGCAGTATGTGTCTGTGTTTAGGTTCTTCCTCGGTCAAGGTAGGGTGAGTAGGCCCAGGCCACTTGGTCCCCACACTGAAGTGGAGGGGGTAGGGGAAGGTGCCTGACAGAAACATCAAGGTGGGAGCTGCAGCTCAGTGAGGACTAAGGCAAAACTGAAACAGCTGGTGGGAGCCCCGAGAGTAGGCTTTCCTGGGCAACTTCCAGAAAGGGAGCAGGAGAAAGGGCATATGATCCTGCTGGTATGAATTCAAACAGGCACAAGGCCGAGTCATTCTGATTCCCGCATGAAGTCATACCACGCAACTGGTTAAGCTGATCTCCCAAATATTCTGAGGGAAAGAGAAGTCCCTGGCCTTTCTGTAAGACCAACATACATGCCTGACCAAAAAGGCCAGCAGTTAGCTCTTCCTCTAGAGGGGAAAACAGGCTTCAGAGACACTTTATCCTATTAGGAGAGAACAAGGAGGGTCACTGCTGCTCTGGATTAAGTTATAATTGCCAGAGAAGGGCCTAAATCCCATTCTTGTTAATTTTCAGGGGAAATGAGGTCCACATGTGCCAAGTTGTAGCTAAAGTCAGTGGATAACCAAAAATTCCTGTGTTCCTACAAAAGTCAACCAAAAAGCTGCCTTGCCTCACTACCCTTTCAATCACACTTAAACAAGGATATGTGTCCTAGAGCTAAATGTAAGATAGACATTTATTTTGTTTATAGTACAAAGAAACAAGATCCTGTTCTCTCCTCCTCTACACGAAGCAAGCTGGGTGAGGAACCCAAAATCAAAAGCTTGGATGTGAAGGTTTCACACTGTTTGCTCAGGACCCTCGTTGAATCTTAATCTAAAAGCAACGGCCCCCTCTTCTTCCACAAGCAGGTTGCACGTATAAATGGCATCACAGCTGTGTGCAATGAGGAGTTGTGTGGGATGCCTTGTGCTTCTCTAGCTGTGACTTCTTCCCATGAAATCGATCAGGCAGGTGGACACATGGCTCCCCCCCACTACTCCCCTCATACATAAAAGACCACGAAGAAAAACACAGGGCTGTGCCCTGACAGTTCTCTGGGCAAGATGGATTGGCAGCTGAGGAAATCACTGGGGAAGTCAGCACACAACATGTCCTAAGCCACGCTTCTGGATGGCATTTGGCCAAATACGATTGCTCCCCTCTGGCGTCCACACCTTTCAGAAGGCTCGAACCTGGCATAGAGGTCCTTTTTGCTGAATGGGGAGGCTTTAAACTCTCTTTATGTCCTGGAATTTAGATTATGTCAGAACAGAACACACCAGACTGAAATCTCTTTGTGCGAATGGTCCCCTATCTTATACACAGAACACAAACACCACACTCACATATACAATTAGTGTACACATTTACCAAAATGAAATGAAATAAACTGGTTCAAAGATAAATCTGTACAGGGCATATTTAAGACTAACGCCCATTCTATCCTGGTATTCAGAGCACAGTAGTAAATCCAGAGCTCACCTAGCCTTCAGAGTAATAGCCACAACAGTGGATTGGGAGTGAGGTGGGGGTAGGTGGAATAGTGCAGCCACCTGTCAGCTCAGACAATATTTGGGTCAGACCACACCCAGTACAGTGGTTTCCAACCTCAGCTACACATCTGAATCACCTGAACTTTAAAAATTTCTGATGCTCAGGCCATATCCCTGATAAATGAAACCAGGATTCAGGCCTTTGTATTTTCTGATGTGGCCCAGGAGACTCCAAGGTGCAGCCAAGGTTGAGGGCTCAGAAACCACACTGTATATTTGGGAGAATGAAGTTTTGTCATGGGAACTGAAATACTGAGTACCATGAAAACTTCCAAACTCCCTGAGAATAGGGAGCATGTTTCCTTACTGAAAACAGTCTCCTCCTGACTTTAAACCCCTCTTTTGCCCTCCCTGTATATTAGGCCTTACTTTAACCATGGGAGGGCTATCTGAAGCCGCCTACAGTGAGCAGGGACTCAGCAAGAGAGTCCAACTCTTTTTTATCTCTCTGTGTGAATAGCCCCCTATCTACTGGGTAGGAATCCTGAAGCCCTGGCTTCTGAAGGAAAGGACCTTTGAAAGCAAAGTGAGTTCATCAGAGAGATGGGTGGCAGAGCACAGGAGTGGGCAGGGGAACAACCATGCAAAGTTGTACTGATATCTAGAAGGAAGAATGCAGATCTTGATTAGCCTCTTACTACCTCCTACGGAGGCACAAACATCTTCCGGTAGGTACTTTGGCTATCTGGGGGCTCAAAAGATCATTTAAGGCACAGTATCATTATAGATGATATTGCCTGCTTCTGAGAACAAGATATGGGAACAGCCAGTATGTTCTCAAAGGGTTTATAAGAAAAGTCATCCATAATGGGCATGGCAGAAGTTGCTAATCTGTGAAGGACTTCTCTCTCCCTACCTAATGTTGTATTGGAGCTTAAATCTGGACCTGAACTCAGGCTGGGACAAAAAGGGAAAGTAGTGATGGAGATGCTGCTTCTGTAGCAGAATCAGCAGTATTTCACCTTCAACCCCATTTTCTAAGAGTTTAAACACAGACCATGCAGAAAGCACTAGAGGTCAGTGGGATGGGAAGGGCAAGGCAGTCACATGCAAGAGAAGCAGAAAAGGGAAGAGGGGCTCCCCCACCTTCTTGGGGTTAGTGTGATTTCCTCTCCTTTCCAAGATTCACTCATTCAACAGGTGCAGATAACTGACTAATCCAAGTCTCTCTGAATTCAGAATACTTTGAGAACAAAAGGGCTCTGAGGCCCTTGTCTAGGACTACAGATATAGAGTGGTTAGCCCATAACCAGAAATCAAAGGCTGGTCAGCATGGCCCATGGTGAGACAAGCAGATTTTTCTTTCTGTCCCTTAGGAAGCAAGAGGCTCCAGGGCCCCCAAGAGGCTCATGACTATTCTTGGGTGTAGCTTTTATACCACGATCCTTTTAGGTTACTATGTCTTTTCATCCATGTGGACTAGAAAAAGTGACTGTCTTCCCAGAAATCACAGCTAAAGAAGGGTGGCGGCGGATAAGGTACCATGCACAAAATAAAATGGTCAAAGGAAGAAAGCGGTGGGCACAAGCATGAGGAATCCAGTCTGAAATGAGCAGCACACGAGAGGAAAAGACAAGAGAAAAGATTTTTCAGCCTATAACTCAAAAGCCCCCTGGAAAGATGCACGTACTTAGCTTCCTCCACTACCTCCACCTCAGCGTGAGCGGTGATGGGTGCGTTGGAGTGGGCTCCCGTGGGGTCGTCAACATTCAGCTCTCCATTGGTTGAGCTAACCACCTGAAACAGAAGGACAGAGTGTGACAGACACCATGGCAATCGGAGCCTCCTGCCAGTGCCAGAGAGGCTCACTAAGGAAGGTCTGGTCTCTAGGTTAGGTAAGAGCCAGGCAAAGTTTAGAACATTTGTTTTTCTGGGCTGGGGGGCCAAACGTCCTAATTTTGGGAATGTGCCCAGACCCACTTCATGTGAAAACACAAAACTCATATAACTATGATAACTTTCATACCGAATGCCTACTCTGAGTTAGGAACTCTTGCTACATTGTGTTGTGTTGTATGTGTGTGTGTAAATCTAATCCTCACACAGAAATCCTACAGAATAGTTGATGTTACTGTCTCTAATTCTATCCCTCTCAGCTTATTACGTTATAATTATATACAGGCTCAGTGATGATGTTAAAAAAAATCTAAAGAGGAAATCAATAGTAAGCATAGAAAACTATAAGCAGTCACACTTTCCTTCAGAAATTTCTTCACAGTTTTGGACCTTCGGTTTGAAGTTACTCAAATAAGACTGCCACATCCTCTCTGTGTGAGAGGGCAGACAGGAAAGAAACACTTTCCCTTGGAAGACCGATCTTATGTCAACAACCTTTATTTCAGGTTCAGTGTCATCCCATTTCTCACTGGTGGTCCCCGAACTGTAACTGAAGGCTCTCACTCCTGTCATCTGGTTAATGTGGAACCGATCAGGCTTCTCTTGCTTGTGCAGCTGCTTCTGTCACCTGGATTCATTTCCAGCACATGATTCCTGCTTATGTGGGTGCTGGGAAGTGGGAAAAGGGACCCCGCTGGACAAACCACTCTGCTGTTAAAGACCTTGGCTGAAACATGGGAGAGAACCACAAAATAGGATAAATGGTTCAGATATCAAATGCCCTTGGGTAAGTAACTTTTCATCTATATGAGACAGTTGCTTATGGACTGATGTGAGAATTATACAAGCAAATGCATGAAACCATGTCTGGTACAATACCTGGTGCACTATAACGGAGACAGCACAGTAGGTAAGAAATGGGCTCTAGACTTACTCAGCCCTGGGTTAGAACCCTAGCTCCACCACTTACTTGCTGTGGGTCCTTGGGCAAGATCCTCACTCTTTCTGTGCCTGAGCTTCCTAATCTGTAAAATGGGGAAACAATGCTGCTTACCTAATTGGGTTACTGTGCAGACAACTAACTCACAGAAAGCGCTTAGCCCAATGTCATGGTACATGATAATGGCCCAATAAACATTCACAGTATTGTTATTCTCCTTCCATAAATGTTTACTTTTATCTCCCTCTAGAGCTGGGAGGGAGTAATCTGTATAAATTTCCTGCACACTTATAAAGAGGAAGGTGGAGGAAAATGTTTAGTCTAAGGAATCTTTGAGGTATTTATTCAAAAAGGAAAGGGCAGACAAGGTGAATACTACTTATCAGCAGTCTTTGCCCACCATTATTTCTAAACTAGAAGTATTTATTATTCTTATTAATTACATCAATATAAGCTTTAAAAAATTATTAACAATGTTGTACAGTTAGTCAAGGAGGCATACAACATTAAACCTGGACTTACCCATGGGAGACCCAAAATTTGCTAGTAATCAAATTTAGCATCTCTGATCAATGAAACCACCTAACCTTATTTATCTCCTGATATGATATAATGAATACTACATAGTATTATCTATATAGTATTCTTGCAAAAAAAAAATTTATCTGTATCTTAAGTATGATGGAAAAAAATAAGACAAATTCAAAGTACAGGACATTCTCTATAAGACAAGAAGTCTAAATTCTTTAAAAAAGATATGTCTCAGAAATCTTTTTTTTTTTTAACACAGAGCTAATCTTTACAGATTAAAAGAAATTAAGAGACTGAAGAGGCATAACAACCAAATGCAGTATATGAACCCTAATTAGATCCTGAACACTACAAAATAAATTCTGGAGACAATTGGGGGAAATGTGAAATGACTGTATACAAGCTATTATGGAATTATTAATTTTCTTATATATGACAGTGGTGGTGTTGGTTCTATGAGAGAATGGCTTCATTCTAAGGAGAAGCAGGCTGAAGTATTTTGGGATGAAATGTACTTACAAATATTTTAAAAACACCCCTCCTGAGTTAAAGAAAATATGGCAAAATTCAATCGTTTCTTAATCTAGTTAAGGATACACATAGGCTCACTGCATCTTCCCTTCAACTTTGCTGTAGATTTTAAAATTTCATAATGAAAAGTTGGGGAAAATGAAAAGTTTCAACAAAAATGAAAAGTTGAGGAGAGAAGGTTTATAGACTGGAGAACTCCAGTCCTGCTAATGTTGTCCTGTTAATTTCCTCAGCCTACATATGCTTCTGGTGGGCACAAGAAGAAATCACAGTATGTTTTTAATAAACAATTCAGGAACTAGATAAGATGTTAAATGAAATGTCTTGGCCTCTACTGACATAAATGAAGCTACAGTCAGCATCACCACTGTGAACTGCCTGGTGACGTCGGGTCATGGCACTTGCTTACAGCATTTCACACGTCTCATACTCTCTAATTTCTCCTTACTATGCTGCCACTTGACCCACAAGCAATGTCCTTGGGTGCCCCATTTTACAGACTAGACATATTGTCTGCATCCATGAGTATCTGGTCTCAAACAAATCAGGCACAAATGACAGCTTTACCATCAACTGTCTAACCTTAAACTTAACTGCATCTAAAATATACTTAGGAATCAAGAGCAACTAATCTGGACCTCTAGAGCATACACTTAATTATTTCAGGTTGGAGGTATAGTTTATCAAACTATGGGACTGCCTAGACGTGCAGTGGAACAAATACCTAGTGGAGGTGACCAAAGAGCTGGATTCTCGACTGTCAACATTCTCTGCGAGCCCTGGTTTCTAATTCCGTAAGACTAGGCCAATAACCACCTTGGTTCTATTAACCTCGTAATTACTATGGCAGTTAAACATAATGTTTAGGAAAGCAATCTGAAAAACTGTGAAGAACTCTAAGGCTGTAACAAATCATTAGTATTTGACACTATCATTTATACTTTTCCATTGATTATTTTAGAATAACCTAATTAAAAAGTAGGTTGTATTTGTATACCTCGAACACTGGCAATTTATTTTGCTGTAATCACTATTAATAATACTAATCTCACATTTCTCTGGCTATATCCTGTAAGATCAAAGTAATTAATACAGGATTATCCATGAAAGAGACTAATGTGAAGTACTGTTTTGAACTTTAGCCCTTCATATTGGTAGCATCCCTTTTAAGAGTCTCAGAGATCTGAGTTATAAGCCCTGCTTTTCAAGTTGTTACCATGAAGAAAAATCAAGAGTTATGTACCAAAGGAAGCAGTATTTTAGCTGATAACCAACATTTCAATCCTAATACATTTGGTAATTCAAAACTAATACATTTGGGAATTCTCTGCTTTAGTTTCCCTATCTATAAAATTGGAATAACACTGATCTTAGTAAGAGTTGTAAATAATTATAAAGATTTGAGCAAAGTGAATATTAGATAAGCATTAAATGTCATTCTTAAGTCATATGCCCTTGTATCTCCTATATATTTTAATTTAAACAATTTTCAACCCTTTTTTTTTTTTGGACAGAAGTGAAAGTAAGAAAGTGAAAGTTGCTCAATCCTGTCCATGACTCTTTGCAACCCCGTGGACTATATAGTCCATGGAATTCTCCAGGCCAGAATACTGGAGTAGCCTTTCCCTTCTCCAGGGGATTTTCCCAACCCAGGGATTGAAACCAGGTCTCTCGCATTGCAGGTGGATTCTTTACCAGCTGAGCCACATGGGAAGCCCAAGAATACTGGAGTGGGTAGCCGATCCCTTCTCCAGCAGATCTTCCCAACCCAGGAATCGAACCAGGGTCTCCTGCATTGAAGGCGCATTCTTTACTAACTGAGCTACGAGGGAAGCCAAATTTCACATACTGTTGGATGGGATGCTTTTTCCACAATATATTTTGGCCATTTTCCATGACATCCAGAGATCTGTCTCTCCACAGTATAGACGTATTATATTTGTTTAGTTAATGCTAAACGCAGATATTCAGTAAGTGTAAAATACATACTAGGTTTCAAAGACTTATTAAGGTTAGTTTCACCTGTTTCTTTTTATTTTTTAACAAGTGATTATTAGGCAATTTTAAATTACAAAAGAGACTCATTTCTCTTAACAGTATTGTTCTAAAATATGTATTTTTACTATTTGTACATTTTTTTTCCCTGTACTTTTTTGAGGGCTATTTATCCGAAACTGGATTCACTGGGTCAAAAGCGGTAGATATTTAAGATTTTAACAGGTATTGCCAAATTACCTCCATAATAGTTGAAACTCATGTTTCAACACCACTAGGTGAATTGGCTATTATTAAACTTAGAAATTTTTGCAAATGAGATGACTATCTCATTTGCAAATGAGATGATACATGTGTATACATATATTGACATATATTTTTTAAAATTGTTAAGTTTTATTTTTATTAGTTATACAAGCACACTGGGTAAAGAATCAAATATTTATACTCAGATACTTGTTAAAAACAATAAACTCCTTCCTCCACTCCACCATTTCCCCTTCCTTTATAGCTGATTCCTTTGTTTTTCACTTCCATGTCTCTGAATAACATGCATCTTGATTTGTTATTTTTAGGCAGTGTATTCACCTTTTTTATCTTTTTATTCCCCCATTAAAGTTTATACAGTAATTACTAAATCAATTCTTAGTGTTTACAATAATTAAAGGCTATTTACAGCTGTATCATTGAGTGTACCATAGTTCTCTTTTCTTCCCTGTATAATTTCTTGTTTGCCATTGAGTTAACTGATAAAATTGCTCTCCAAGCCTCCTGACCAGTTCTGTTTGGGACAGGCTGTCCTCTTCTACTGGAAGACAGCTGTCAGTATGGGACCGCCTGTCTTTATACTGCTGCTTTCCTGAGTTGGATCTCGTTTCCTGGATCCTATATTTACTCTTTCTTGGTTGATTCACTCATTTTCATAGCACACTTCCTCCTACAGCTTCACAAGGGTGCATGAGAAATAAAATTACTGGGACCACAGATTTTTGAAAATGTCTTTATTACATATTTCAACCAGAATTGACAGTTTGCAGAAGTACAGAATTCTAGGTAGGAAATCATTTGTTCTTGGTTTTGAAGGGATTGCTCATTGCCTTCTAGCTTCCAGTACTGCCGTTCAGAAACCTGAGGCTATACTAAGTCCTGGTCCTTTATTTGCATGTGACTGTTTTCTTTTTCTGGAAACTTGAAGGATTTGCTCTCTGTCTTCAGTGTTTTGAAATTTCACATTGATATACTCTGATGTGATTTCACCACCCATTTATGCTGGGCACTTGGTGGGCCTTCTGATCTGGAAGCAAATCTCTGAGATCTGCGAAATTACTTTGTCCACGAGTTCTGCCCCTCTCGGAACTCCCATTATTTAGAAATTGGACCTTCTGGTCTCTTCTTAAATCTTATGTTGTTTCCTACTATTTTTATCTCTATTTGCTCTACTTTTGGGGAGACTTCCTCACAACCTTATCTTCCAAAGTTTTGAGCTTTTTGTTTTTGGGCCACACCACAGGGCATATGGGATCTTAGTTCCCCAATCAGCGATCGAACCCATGCCCCCTGAAGTGCAGAGTCCTAGCCTCTGGACAGCCAGGGAATTCCCAACTATTGCGTTTTAATTTTTTTTTTTAATGTATTTATTTTTTAATTGAAGGATAATTGAGTTTTAATTTTTTGTTTATTATGTTTTTAATTTCCAAAAGCTCTCTTTGTTTTTTTTTTTGGTTTGTTTGCTCTTAGAATATTTCTTTTAAATGTAGCATCCTGTCTTGCTTCACAGTAGCAATATCTTCTATGAGGTTTTTAATAACAAAGTATTTTTTTGTTGCTGTTGTTGCTCTTTTTGGTCTCTTTTTAAGGGCTTTCTTCAGAAATCTGATAATCCCTGAATGTTTGCTCATATTTAAAAGTAGAATAAAGTAAACTGGCACTGTGAATATAGAGTTGGGAGTTCTAAGATGATCTCATAGCAGAATGATCTGGCTGGCCAATTCATTAGGGAAACCCAGTTGTGAGGAGGCTCAGATGTTTTCTCTGGGGGTGGTTAGATCCCCCAGAGCGGACTCAAGGTCATAACTTTAAGGTACACACCTGACTATCTGCATTCTTTTTTTTTTACTATCTGCATTCTTAAGTACTAAATGGAAAAGCAGGCAGTCAGTATGCACACATTCATTCATTTAATCTCGCCTTTTCCAGTATGGTATTCCACCCTCAAATGTGCCTTGTATCTCCTAATCCAGAGACCATCTTTTTTTTTTCTTTTGGCCATGCTGCATGGCATGTGGGATATTAGTTCCCTGACCAGGGATAGAACCCATACTGTCTGCATTGAAAGTGCAAAGTCTTAACCACTGGACCACCAAGAAGCCCCAGGGACCATTTTTTTGCCCTCTCCAGAGAATAACCTTTGGTCTTTGCTGTGGAGGACAAGTAGGGACCTCTGGCTTCTTAAACAGACTTTAAACCAACGTTCTTCATTTTAGCACACGCCTCTCCACACTTTCTGAGCTTTTTGGGGACTCCCTGGTGTAAGCAGTTTCTCAGCTTTCTCTTGTATTGGTTCAGACTTTCATTTTCTTGGGACTCCTAAGTCATTTAATAATTGCCCATCTGCTATCTAGCTTCTGACATTTGATTGCTGTTGCCTCCTTGTCTGTTTTCTCCATTCTTATATGGATTTATGCCTTAAAAAAAACCTCCTTATCATTCTTTTAGTGTTATTTCAGACGGGATTATCTTCAATCCATCATTTTTACCTAGATGCTCCTATGAGAACATTTTTGGTTTACAGGTCAAAGCTGTCCTTGGAATAACACGATCTTCAGTAAGTCAGTCCATGTACAGACGTATCTTAAATAATCAGCCTATCAAGATGCATTTTTATGCAAAAGGCTTACCTATCCCTTTTAAAGAATAAGAATTTATGTTCGGTAGCTCTGGGTTCACCTGTGTGCCCCAATTGGTGCTGTCACTTACCAGTATAAGAAAAACAATCAGGTTAAGATTATTAAAATAGTGACATGTGTGAAAAGTTAAGAGACACAAGATGTTCTTAAGTATAAGGGAAAATAAAGATTCAAAATAGTCCAAAGGAAATCAGAAATAATTATTCGAGGAAGGAAAAAAGAACATAGCCCAACTCCTTCAGTCCCCACTCATAAATGGATGAGTGAAACCAATAAACAATTTGTCTTTATGTGCTAGGGCACGTATCATCATAGAACGAGCTACATATGCAGTCCTCTATTCTCAAAATACTTATTTTGAAAGGCTCAGATCTTTACAGTTCCCAGACTTGACACTAAAAGACTTCTACCTTGACATTATTTTATGGTCTATCATGAGTGGATCAAGATTGAAGGATTCATTTCATCAGAAATTAGTATCAGAAATCATATACATATTTCTTAGTCAATTACAACAACCAGCAATCATCTCAACAAGTGATTCTTACAATGCCCCTCAGTAGGAAATCAGCACAGAGATATGCAGTTAACTGTAAGAGCAGCTCAGCCTTACTGTGAGACTCCATTCTAAAGGAACCAGAGTTTCAGAAGCGAGCCAACATTCTACCAGCCAAGCTGGGAGGGCCAGGAGAAGGCAAGGAAGGCAGTAAGTACCTGCACTGATCCCCCATGGCGGTCTGCGGCCAAGTGAGACGTCAGGTATGAGGTATTGGTCTGCCGGCTCGGCTGGATTTCCCACTCTCCTCGGCGCTCTGACGATGCAGTCTGCTCAGGCATTAGGAAGCATGAGAGCAAGATATGGAAGGAAAGGTGAAGCAACAGCAAGCAATTAAAAAATCAAGTACATTAGTGTCCCTTCAGGTTTTGTTTTTGTTTTGGATTTTGAACTAACAACTGCTGCAAAGCACTGAGAAAAAGCTTGGCTACATTCATTTCAGCCTAACAAGTCAACACATAACTGTCTCTAACATACCAACCTTGCCGAGACACAGAAAAACAATAATTACCACAAGAGGAGGTTAAAAAAGAAAATTTATCAAAAGCTGGAATCATCTTTTAGTTTCCATATTAGTAAAATTTCAATAGCCACTAAACAGACCAAATTCAGAAAGTTGCGGTTGCTGCACAAAGGAATAATCATACTTATATCATTTCACTGATTAAAGATCTACCTAAATAGGTAGTAATCAATACAGAAAATTCCAAGCGCTAGGAATTAAGATAGTAAGTCTTTTCCTTGAATAGGGAGCCCACTACTCTCAAACTTCCAGAAGACTTTCAACTAATATAAAATGAGCAGTAGCGGGAATATGCTCTCTTCTCTAAAAGGATGAGTGAAGTCTCTCTTCAAAAGTAGGTTCAGAGGTCAAGAAGATGAAAAGATGAGGGAAGATAAGGCTACAACGTTCCTCAGATTCCTCTAGTTGTCTGTCTCCAGTCTGGAATTAGACAAAGTTTAGATAAGACTACATAAACTATTTTCTTCTAGAAAGCAAAAGGCAGATCTTTTCCCAGCAAAAGGAGGGCTTTTGATTCAAAATCTCGTTGGGTTCTGCTTTCACCTTTGCTGTCTTGTCAGGCTCTCCTCATTCCCTCTTCACCTGTTTTATAGATCTCACACTATTCTAATCTTGCTCATATGTCATGTCTGTTCTCAAGAATCTGTTTAGGTGCCTCTTCCCCTGTACCAGCTGGCTGAGGAGCTGTTAACATTATGGTGCTCAGCTGTTAACAGGCCTAAGGCTCTACAAAAATGAAAAATGAGGTGTTGGAGAGGCAGCAATGAGGGATTAGTAAATCAAATTTTAATTGCTGCTGATAATAAACAGCAGCAGGGGCTGAGATGTGATATTGCTGCTCTGCATGAAAACTAGTAAGGATGCTATAAATATTAGAAATATAGCTATAAATGTTGTATTCTTTAAAAAAAAAATTTGGTGGGGGGGGGGGGAGACTGAAATAGTAGTAGTTTGAGGTTCCATTTCACTCACCCCCTTCTGGAATTCATTGACAAAGAGTGGTTTTAAGCTCATCTACAAATCACAAAAAGGCTTCGCCCGCCCCCCTGCATCCCCCAAAAGGCATCATGTACCAGCTGCAACTTACTCATCTTCTTAACTAATGGAATATGAAGTCACATGGGTAACAGCATTATAAAAGATGCTGGCCATGTTTTCTGATATTCCTCTATAAGAAGGCAGCTGTATTAACTTGCTTGCTATATACTCTAACAAGAGAAAAGTTTAGTTTTATTCTGCCAATCATATTTGAGAGAATCAAAGCTACCCCCTAAAAAAAAAAAGCTACCCCAAATATCTCCCTACCCACTCCTGCCAAGAGAGGTTCAGATGTTTCATTTCTCCAAAATAAGACTGTGATTTATAACATAATCATAATTATTTTATAAACCAATATCCATAGCCTAGGAGTGCTTAATCTCATTTATTCTACTAGTGGAGATTTGAGACAACATCTGTTCTTCTAATATTATCAGTAATATCTATAACTAAATATCTATTAGTGATAGCCTCTTCAGTTCTCTCTAGGACTTTATAAATTTTCTTATAATATTTAAGTAGATTATAAGCTTCTAAACTACTATATAGAATTGTTTGTTCTCAAAAACTTTAAATGCTTAGAAAACATACATTTTTAAGTCATTTGGGGCTGTTTTGAGTTCTATGATACATGTTCAGTGCAATACTTCTCTCATGAAAAGTCTGTTTTGCATTTGTTTTTAGGGCAGATGAAACATATAGAAAACTCTCATTCTTTTAAGCTTAACAAAACCTCGGGCAGCTGGATCAGCTATTAATTCTGTTTTTCCTGAAATACATATCAGAAGTCTGATTTGATGCTACCATCTGATTCCCAGGGATATATACTTGCTTATATTCATTCTAGCTAAACAGGTAACTTGTTGGAATAATTAAGATTTTTGTCTAAAAGAAAATAGCAAGACATTTTTTCAAAGGCCTTAAAGTTACACTCCATCCTCAAAGCAATGTTCTATTTGTCTTTTGAAGAGAGAAAAATAATGCTAGCATTTGACACTGCTTCGTAAATGTGACAAGTGAAGAATACATGGCTCCATCCCACTGCCCTCTGACACCTTCTATATCCACTGAAAGCAGCAAAACTAAGAGAGAGATCTGAACTCAGGGTTGTTGGTTTATTACTCTCAGAACTACTTTCACCATAATGCTAAACTCTACGGCTGTTCTTTTCTAGAATTTGGACTGGTGTATAGAAGCTGATGTAAGTAGAAGGGTTCATTTGCCAGTTTAGAAAGCAACTGAGAGCCTAGAAGCTAAATGAAACCAAAGAATGTCAACAACTACAGAATTCTACTAGTCTACCTGTCCTTGAAAGGTACTCAAGGCAATGCTGTATACACAGGAGTTAAGATAGGCATAATCAGCACAAGAGCCAGATAAATATCAAGCAAACCAGTGGAGGAGATCACCATGTAAACCCTTCATTGGTAAAAATCATTCATGCAACATGTCTATCTAATAAGCAATCAGGAGAGTCATTCAACAAAATCAATCTCTCTGCATTACTTCAAAGACAAAGGTCCACACAGAGTGTGTAAGTCCCCAAAGGCACCAGCAGGAAACTCAAGTAGTGGGAATTCCTTGGGGTAATGCTTTAAAATCTTCAGCTGGGATTGTACTGCCTGCGTGGAAATGCTTGGTTTACTATGTAGTAGGTGAACATGGAAACAAAAAAAAGCAGCAACCGAGCAGAGCATAAATCAAAAGCAAAGCTACAAAAAATTGTTTAGGGAAAACATGTAAGACTAGTGTAAAAAGTTGAAACCACCCCTTTGCCTAGGGCAGAGGAAGCAGCATCTTCAAACAACTTGGGAGGGATTCATGGACAGACAGTGGGGAGAATGATACTAATTGGAGGTCAAGAAAGTAAGAGTCTGAGAAAACCTCAGATGACCACCTCTGTCTACGGCTTGAAAATTATCTCAAATTTCTTTTCATGATAAAGCAATTTTTCTAAAGCAGAAGGCAGGCAAATATCTTCCTCCTGTTGTAGCGAACAAACCATCAAATCTTATTCTTTATTATATAGTTATTTTGAAAAATTAATTTTGATTCCATCTATAAAAGCATCTCATCCATTTTACTTTATGGCTCCTAAAATACTTTTAAAAGTTGCCTCCCATGTCAATCTTCTACACTTGCATTATATAATCACAGTCTTCAACTGTAATTAACAAAAATAGAGATTAAACAGTACCAAAAGGCTAGTTAATGAATACACTAGATTACATTCTGTTTTACCACACTTTCAAAGTTTTAATGCAGCATATTAAATATACTATATTATAAAGCTCATGAACAGAACCAATTTTTCTGGATTGTTACATGCAACCTTTCAGCTGTATCAATAGTGAGTTCCTGTTTTCTACAAACTTGTCCAAATATCAGAGATATCAGAACAACATTGATAACAATCTGGAGGGGATTGTTTGCAAGCCCAATACTATACAGGCCCACAGAGACAGCGGTTTCGATTCTATGAAGTTCTGGGGAAAAAAATCACAGAAACTATCTGAAAGGTTTGAAATTCTCTACTCACATCTCGTCTTATTCTTACTCAAAATGGCATAATACACCTTCTGTATGGAATGATGATTTATCTAGGTAGGATTACTGCAGAGTCACCTCCTACAAGGAGATGCCTCAGAACACAGGGTGTATACTGACATACAAAGTAATGAACACCACATACGACAGAAGAAAACTTTTAACATGCAATAGAGAATTAAGAGTGGAGGTGAGGGACTTCCCTGGTGGTCCAGTGGTTAAGAATCCACCTGCCAGTGCAGGGGACACAGGTTGGATCCCTGGCCTGGGAAGGTGCCACATGCTGCAGAGTAACTAAGCCTGTGTGCCACAGTACTGAGCGCAGGCTCCAGAATCTGCAAGTTACTACTCCTGAAGCCTGCACACTCTTGGGCCTGCGAGCCACAAGCACTGAGCCCAAGCACTACAACGTGAAGCCTGTGTGCCGAGAGCCTGTGCTCCACAGCAAGAGAAGCCACCGCAGTGAGAAGTCCACGCACTGCAACTACAGAAGATGAAGACCCACCACAGCCAAAAACGAAATTAAATAAAGTATAGGCATAAATAAATATTAAAAACAACAAAAACAAAAAAGAATCCGCCTGCCAATGCAAGGGACATGGGTTTGATCCCTGGTCTGAGAACTAAGATCCCACACGCTGAGGGGCACCTAGGCCCTGTGCCACAACTACTAAGCCTGCAGGTGCTGTGCAACGAGAGAAACCACCACAGTGAGAAGCCCACATACTGCAACTAGAGAAAGTCTGTGAGCAGCAGGAAAGACCCAGCACAGGCACAAATAAATAGACAGACAGATAACTACTCCAGTATGATCCTATTAAAAGAAAAACAAAAAAAAAGAGCGAGCGAGCAGAGGTGAGCAGCAGAGACTACGTCACTCAAGGGGGGAGGTTAAGAAAAAGACTATTTCAGTTGTGCACTAGTTTCTTGCAATATCCTCCTTGGAGTTTATGTCCCAGCAATGAGCAGGGATGGTTCATTCTGCACTGAGCTCTGTGATGGAGGCAGGCAGGGCAAGAGTGCGGTCTCCACACCTCAGCTCCCACTGGACAACAGGCAGCCAGTCAGGAAACTGCACACGGTCAGAAGTAGGCAAGCGATCTCTGCACAAACACATCTGCCCCTTAAACTAGGAAACACTGAACCTCACTGAAAACCAGG